ATTAATCCGATCCATGTGTCTGGGCTGTCGAGGGGAGTTAACTCGCTCCAGATGCCGGCGCCTGCTCCAGCTCCTCGGCAAACAAACCCCCGTGCCCCCCCCTCGCTACCCTCCCTGCACCCCGCTTTTCAGTGGGTCATACCCAAAAGGGATGGGGGAGCTGCCCCCTTCCACCCTTCCCACCTCCCCCAGGGAGCAACCCGTCCTGGAGGTGGTCGGACAGTTTTTGGGGCATCCACCGATTTTTTGGGGGCCCATAAATTTTAGGGGCATCCAGCAAATTTTTGGGGTGCCCACCAAATTTTTGAGGTGTCCACCAGATTTTTGAGGTGTCCACCAACTTTTTGGAGCATCCGCTGTATTTTTGGAGCATCCACCACCTTTTGGCATGACCAGTGAGTTTTTAGGGTGACCCCCAATTTTTTGGGGTGACCTCCATCTTTTTTGGTGTGCCCACCTCCATTCCCACACCGCCAGCCACATGCCCAGTTTGCACCAGTAAAACCAGTCTGGGGTGTGCAGGAAAGGCTCTGGGATTCCCCCAAAACTGAGGGGAGGCTGCATGTGACACCAACCCCCCCCAAACACCCCCTAAGAGCAGGAGGGTCCCAGGTGGGTGCCACCCCTCTCAGCATCCCACGGGAGCCCAGGCCTGTACTTGGCATCTCCCATCCCGCTTCAGAGGATCCTAATGACTTTTCCAGCCTTTTTTTTTTTATATTCTTCTTCTTTATTAACTTTTTTTTATTTATTTAAAGTGGGAATTCTTCCCTTTTCCCAACCCCCAACCCTTTCTCCAAGTCCTCCTGCATTCCTGGGGCGGGCGTCCCGGGGCTGATGAGGTGGCATCATCCCGTCCTTTCCCCCCCCCCCTTGCTTTTTTATTTCCCCTCCCTCTCCATACATATATATTTATTAAAAAAAATAAAAAACCCTCCGATGACATTCTTTTCTTTTCTGTCATGCTGCAAAAATTAAAGACACATCTTCAGGCTGGAGCCTGGCCAGGCTTTTCGAGTCACCGAGGCAGGATTGGAGGAGGCTTTGCCTGCAACGTGTCTCGGATTCATGGATACAAGGCTGGAACGGGGGCCAGCTGCTGCCGGCCCCATGGACACGCGTGTGCGTGGGCATGCGTGTGACCCCCCCTCCTCGGGTGGCTTTGATTTTGTTGCATTTTATTGAATTTCATCGCAGGGAAAATAAAAAGTCCCCCGGACAAGTTGGTGGCGCGAGGAGGGAGCGATGTGTCATCCCCACCCCCCCCCAGTTATTTCATTGTTAAATTGTTTTGACTTGTGTTTTTCCTGAAGAAAAATAAGGAAATGTCTTAGTGGGAGCTTCTGCTCCGACGTGGTTTTGCTCTGCAATGAGCTCAGTGCTCCCAGTGCTCCCAGTAATCCTCGGAGCCTGCAAGCCCTCGGCATAGCGGTAGGTCAGACAAGCGGAGTAACCCCAGTACTCCCAGTATTCCCAGTGTTCCCAGTGCTCCAAGTAATCCACTGAGCCTGCAAGCCCTCAGCATAGTGGCAGCAGAGATAAGGAGAGTGAGCCCAGTGCTGCTGGTATTCCAAGTATTCCCAGTATTCCCAGTAATCCACTGTGCCTGCAAACCCTCACAGAGTGGCAGTGAGGACAAACAGAGTGCTCCCAGTTCTCCCAGTGTTCCCCGTGCTCCCAGTATTTTGCTGAGCCTGCAAGCCCTCGGCATAGAGGTTGGGGGAATGAGTGGAATGAGCCCAGTGCTCCCAGTATTCCCAGTGTCTCGCTGAGCCTGCAAACCATCAGCACAGCAGTGGGGGGAACAAGCAGAGGTGCAGGAGCAGAATTCAGCTCTCCCACTGCTCCCAGAATTCCCAGTATTCTGCTGAGTCTGCAAAAATCCTCAGCATATTGATGGGGGACCAAACGGAGTGAGCCCAGTGCTCCCAGTATTCCCATTATCCTGCTGAGCCTGCAAACTCTCAGTACAGTAGTGGAAGGGCAAGCAGAGGTGTGAGGGCTGAACCCAGCTCTCCCAGTGCTCCCAGAATTCCCAGTATTCCAATTAGCCTGCAAGCTCTAAGCATAGTGATGGGAGGGACAACAAGAGTGAGCCCAGTGCTCCCAGTACTCCCAGTATCCCCAGTATCCTGATGAGCCTGCAAGCCTAGTGACAGGGGGTACACAAGCTAAGTAAGCTCCATTTTCCCAGTGCTCCCAGTATTCCCAGTAATCCAATGAAGCTGCAAACTCTCAGCACACTGGTGGAGGGGGACAAGTGTAGGTGTGAAGGCTGAGCCTAGTTCTCCCAGTGCTCCCAGTATTCCCAGTATTCCATGAGCCTGCAAGCCCTCAGCACAGTGACAGGGGGGACAAACAGACTGATCCCAGTACTCCCAGTACTCCCAGTATTCCATGATCCCACAAACCCTCAGCATAGCATGGGGGGCACAAGCACAAGTGCAAAGGCTAAACCCATCTTTTCCCTTCTTCCCAGTCCCATTTCCCATCCCATTCCCTAAAAATCCCCCCTGAAACACGGGAGTGCCCCCCCCGGGGTGCCACATTGCCCATGCGAGGCTCCTTCCCCCCCTCCATTCCCGAGCTCCCGGTCCTGGTAAATACGTCGATTTTTTTGGCATGTAATTACACCCTCCCCAAATTGCACGGTAGGTTGTGGATTATTGTCCAGGAGCTTTTGCTTTTTCCAACCAACGTGGCTCCTTCAAATGTGGAAACGGCGGTGGAGGCGTGCCAGGGGGGAAGAGAGGGGAGAGGGATGGCCAGGAGTGAGGGGATCAAGGGAAAGGAAGGGAAAAGACGGAAAGAAAGAGCTAAAAGAAAAAAATCAAGCCAGTGTTTTTTGGGGTGTTTGTGGCTCTTGGGGTGTCCATGGGTGGGGGGATGCCCATCGAAGGGATGCTCTGGGGGTTGAGGGTTGGTGGTCTTGGCCCCGTACTGTGATGGGGGTTTAGATGAGGGGGGATGGTGGGTGGGTGGGTTTTG